AACCTTAATTGACATAAGTTTTTTAGAACTCGTAATTAATCAACTATCTATAGATATGATCAACTTATAGGTTATGAAAAAATTATTAGTGGTTGACATTTGGGTCATTGTTGGAATGTTGTTGGATTATTTTGTAGCCAAGACTGCTTGGAAAATGTTTTAGAGCTTTCCTGAAATATTTGAACAATCTAAATGTCAATAAATAATAATGTCATCATAAACCGATCATTAATCCATTTTTTAAAGATTTTTTGAAACCCTTATTAAACTAATTATTGATCAATATTCTATTTGTCTATTTTAGTACCAGTCCATGATAATTGTATTCATGGAAAATTAAATAATTATTTAAACACTTATTTTAAATTAAAAGAATACAACTATTTCCAGTTTGAATCTTATATTTTAAAGCATTTAATTTTTGATAATTATTTCTTAAAATCTTTGTTATTCCTGACGAGTTCCCTAATTTAGCCTCTTTCATTTTCTATTTAACCAAAAACTCTAAAAATTTCACATAATTTTTAAAAATACACAAAAATAATAGTAATCTAGTGAAAAATATCTAGCTCAAGAGAAAACTACCTTCTTCATTGGTGTTTCTGTAGCCCACGGCTAACTGTTTGTCCGCTAATTAGAAGCTAACGGCAGAACTAAAGTTCAAAACTTGAAAGTTTCTTGCTCTTGCGGAAGTCTCCCCCCTCATCGTCTCCAGCGTTCTGTGCCCTACTCTTAACGCCTAGACTTCATGCAGTTGAGTAGGAAACAGGTCCTACACCCTGGAGGGCACTCTCGTTTGCTCTGCCGGCCAGCGTTAATTACTAATTAATTGTTTCGCGTGTTTGAGTTTTAAATGGATAAATTAAACAGCTGGCAAGCTACAAACATGTTTCAACATCACTTAGAATCTCAAAAATATTCTCGAGTCATTTTTTTTTTCAGTATTATTTAATTAAATTCTCTAGTGGATATTGAATTTAGTAGGACATTTATTTATGTAAATTAACTGTTTGAAGAATGGGATTTAAATACGACAAATCGCTTCATTTTGATCTTAAGATGATTCTAGAGTACCCCCAGAACAACCCTTGGGTAATCGGAGCTCAAATAAAAAGACGTAATACCAGATAAAACATCCCATTTGTCTAACGACGATTTTTCTCGCCCCCTGCGGGACAGAGAAAAGCAGATGGTTAAAGGATGAGGAGGTCTAGGGGGTGGGAAAAGCATGCCCGGAGGTGGTAATCATCTTAAACGAGCATTGTCACAGACACCTCGAGGGAAGAATGTCGTACTACTCGCGCCACCTGATTCTTTAGTAATTGAGATGGATCGATGAATTACACACCCCCTTAGAAGAACAAGACAGATTTTTTATTTTTAAGTTCCAAATAGATTCTTCACGAAAAAAAATCAAAATTCATTTTATTTAATCATAAAATTGATAGCTAAGTGTTTTTTTCCTATTCGGTTCAATATTACCCGTATAGAAAAATTTCGTTCCCCGAAGGTTCCCCTCGTGGGACTATGGGAAACGTTTGGGTAACAAAATTTTTTTTAATTTTTTCCTCTCTATGCCAAACGTAATTTAAATGTTTTCTACCTGCAAAGATAATAGAAATAATGAAATTGATGGAATAATGATATAATTACAAAGAACTGTAAAACATAAAGATGCATAACTTTTATACTAATAATGCTACGGGGTTGATCAAGGGCTCATATGAAAGATCTGGACGAAAGGAAAAGATTCGATAGAGGTAAAATAATAATTGGGGCATAGTTTATGCTAAAATTGGAGTAAGTTCCCGTTTTGCCCGATTTTAGGAGTGAAATAATTGTTTTTTCATATGTTTGACCTGATTCCGAATTTCAGGCATTGAGACGAAGAGAATGAGTGGTCAAACTTGAAAATCGGACAACTTTTATTTTTCGACCCCAAAAAATGGCAAGTGGTACCTCTTTCCATTTTTTTAGGCCAAAAAATAAAAGTTGTCCGGTTTTCAAGTTTGACCACTCATTCTCTTCGTCTTGATCCGTAGAAATACGGAATCGGGGCACAGCCCAGAAAAACTCACTTTAACACCCTCAAAAAGGTGTAAAACCAGTTACAAATTACGAGTTATCATCCCCTTGACTTTAAACCCTAATAACTCATGAATGGACGGTCCAATAACTGTTTTTAGGGACGTTTTAAAACCCTCAGAATTTAAGCTAAACATGCATATCTATAAAAAATGTTTAAAAAATTTCTTGCACCCTTAAAATCGATAAAATATTTTAAAAATCACATTTTTTGGGAGTTTGCAATCTATTTTGGCAATTTTGAGGGTGAAATAAATTTTTTAGACGTTTTTCGTGGATATGTATCTCTAGCTTAAATTCTGAAGTTTCTAATCAGCTCTTAAAAATCATCGTCTGATGATTTTTCCATAAGTTATGGAGATCCAAAGTAATAAATGTTGAGATTCTGTCATCATTCTGCATCAATCCTACCACTATTCGAAATTTATTCCGTTCTTATTTTCTTTATGTATTATGTTGTACTATTATTATTATTTTATGTAAGAACGAATGCAATTTTTTACAGTATTTTTATATGTTTTTTTCATTAAAATTCCTATTTTTATTTTCACATTAATTTTTCAAAAAACTTCTGAAACAAAATTTGTATTTCGTTATCCTCAGTTGATGGTATGTACTCTTTCTTCCATACTTGTGAATAATTTAACGTGAACGTCGGTCCACATTTGGTAGACCGCAACATAGAAATTTGGTCTGGTAGATTGCCCTGTCACTCGACGGTCGAGTTTCTCTCCATTCTCTTGATTTTATAGAAAACATGTTCAGGAATGGAGAGAAAGGTGACTTCGATTATTCTGCAGCGTAGGTTGGAGCTTTCTCACCTAAATGACTAGTGCATTTGACAGAAGAAAGGATTTGTATGTGTAAATACAAATACAGTATTGAATTGATCTTCAAGTTATAATTGAAATTTATCATTTTTTTCAACTAATCAATGACGAATTTGAAACAAGTTTGTTTGAAATGCAAGCTTCAATCATAAAAAGCGAATAATAGTTTTAGAGAAAATAAATATCAGATAATAAATGTGGACAAAATTGGTGAAAAAATAAAAACAGTAGGTTTCAAAACCAACTCCTTAGAAAAATTGGACTCTATTAACTGAAGGAAACTTCAATATAACTAGTTTTTAAATTCGTTAGTGTCTTAGCTTAAAAATAAATCTTTTTTTGTAAAATCAAAAGCACAATAGTTTTTTCAATATTCTGCACATAAATTATCAACAATATCTAAACATATTAATCAAAGATTATCTTTGAATAATTATTCAAAAGAGTTTAAAGTTATCAATGGTCTAGTGTTATTAGTTTTAACATCGAAAAAAATTTTGATTTATATTGAAAGAGAAGATGAACAAATTCATAAACCACCGAAAATATAATAAAATCAGTATGTTTGGATAAGAGGAACTGGTTTACTATTGGCATGCAAGATTTTATGTAAACAGTCAACAAAGTAAGATAAATAGAATCTTAAAGAAGACGGTTATAACTAATCGATATATTAATTATCTTTATTTCATATAAAACTTGATTTTAATTAAAAATATGACAGAATTTAATTTTTTTATAATAATAATATACATTTTTTAATGAGTTTTTCTGAAAACAATTAATTTTTCCATAAAATAAATTTTTAATATGAATTCTTTTACAGAAAAAAAACACTTTAATTTAATGTGAAGTTAAAAATTCCACTGCTACTTGTTAAAAGGGTAGTATTATGACTTAATGACCTATGACAAAAAATAATAATTAAATGACCTGATGGACAACAAGGCTTGATGATTTTAATCAAGACTCTAATTATATTTTGAGTGAAAAGGCAGAAAAGGGGTGAGTTGCAACAGTACGACTGTTCTAAGCAACTGATTTCACGCATCTGGCGTTTGGCGGTTTGGCCAGGACTAGTTTTAGAGGGAGTGTGGCTAGTCTGAGAGTATACAGCAGTGGTTAGTCTCGTGATCAATATTCCTTACCCCCTTGAGCCTCCCTCCAGGCGTAGGGTGGTCTGTAACACACCCTCCCTTCTTCTCTTCTTGAAGCTGAAGCCCAGGCAGAACCCTGTAGCCCCTCTCTTGCACCCTTGTCTTAATTAGGAGTCTGAATCTGCGGCGGACACGCGTAAGGGATGCAAGCCCCCGCGGAAACTTACCCCCTTATGGCACAGCTCTTCTCTCTTGCCTCGTGTCCGAAACATTATTCCCAACTTTGCAGACACGCGCGATCTTCTGTTTTTTTTTTATTTTTCTTTTTTTTTTTGTGTTATACTTTCACCCTTAATTTTCTCACTCGTAAGTCAACCCTCATCTCCTGTCGGGAAAAACTTCGTGGTAAATGCGGGAATAATTAACGTCAAAAAAGAAGAATGTTATGAAGTAAATATTTTTTTATATTTATAAATGAATAGTAATTGCGAAAGGATTTTTTTCTGAGTATTAAATTGACTTTGATTGTTATCTTTGATTTAAATAATTATCAGGAATTTACTTAGACTCATTTGGAATCAAGATTCAATAAAACATGTAACAACAATTATTTTATTTAAATATTTTTGAAAAATAATTAAAATTAGATTAATAATTTTCATTTCTATTACATAAATTTTAAAACGTTATAAGAGACAAGATCGTAGGAAAAAAATTTCCTCAAGGAAGTCTTGGAAAAGATCGAGCCAATAAGATGAAAGAGAATTCTAAGAACACATCGATAATGTCAAAATAATTAATCATCCTTGAAGCAATCAATAAAGCTCCTTAAAAAAAAATTTTAATCACATTTTTTAGAATAACAGTACATTGATATTTTCATCATCAGCAAACTAATTTTCTTGTTATTAAATATTAATCACAATTAAAAAATATTTAAAATATTTTAATTAAACTTTATGTTATAATGATGTTTTTTTTGTTACAGAGTCGCCTCCTAGGGGGCGGGATTATCCCCGCCGAATGATGAACAAGGTAAGATACATTCAATAATTTTGTATTAAAAAATTAATAGCTCATCTAATTACCTGGATATCAAAAACCACGTACGATCAGTTATTTAATCGATCACAGTCTAATCAACTTTCCCTTACATGAAGGTAATCGCGTGAGCTTTTTCGGGCTAACTCTAACCCCTTTATTTTTTGTGAACTCTTTTTGATAGATCCATACATGTATACTCATTTATCGACTCAATTCTGACGGCAGCAATTACCACGAAACTTTGCTTCGATTATCCCCGAAGCGAAAAAAACAAGTGGATATGGAGAAAAAAAAATTACTGAAAGAAAAAATCCCAATCAACGATAATAAATCAACTAAAGTTATACTCAATTTTTTTTCTTGCTCATTTTATATACTTAAATCTTTCCTGATTTTTTTTTTTTTTTCCACTGAGGAACATAAATTCTCTATTGAACTCTAGAGTTTTTAATTTATGTATTTTATAAAATATATCGATTTTTTTATATTAATTTTTTTCGAAATAAATTCCTAAAAAGTTTCTAAAAAAATCAATGCCTTTTCAAATATTACAATGAATTGAATCATTAAAGCTTGTTAGAAAAAATCAAAAGCGTAAATAAATGAAAAGAAATTTAATAAAAGCTCCCTGTAATAAGAAAATACTGAAAAAATTTATGAAAAACTTTTAAATAAAGAAATAAATTCGTTAAAAATAATTTTTAATAAAGATTTTATCAATCAAAATCAATTTTTACAAGACATTTAATTTTTTTTCTGGAGATATTTAAAGTATTATTATTTATTTCGAATTATCTGTGACTCAACAGCACTCCATTTAGTTTCTCACCGACATTGAGATGTTATTGTAGAATTTAATTTGAGTTAGTTTTGTTTTTAAATAATTAAGAATTCATAAATGAATCAATTCCACAACAAAAGTAATTTAACACCAATATTTTTTATAAAGAATTTTCACATCTTACGATCTTTCTCAAAAGCGTCTGGATTATGATATTATACAGTTGTTCTCTAAATATATATAGCTATACACTAGTCTCATTTGTAAGCCCTTTACGCCGTCTACCTCCCCTCATTATGCATTGCACATGAGAAAACTTAGCCAAAGTCTCTCTTCTCCATCTCCTATCCTTCTTTTCACTCTGATTCTCTTCCTCAATCTTCACTCATTGCCTCTCTCAGTTCTCGCGCTTGCGACTTCGTAAGCTCGACTTCTTTATAAACTTTTAATGATGGCGAAGCCCAATCGAGAAAACGACGAGAAGCATAAAAAAAAATATGTATATATATAAAGACGTTATGCTCATCGAATTTCAATGGCTTCAAGAAATTTCGTTCATTGACGTTATCAAAATTGAGATATTCACATGTTGAAAACGTTAGAATTTTAACAAGAATCAGAGAATTCATACGGAAGTGTGAGTCAATTATTTGAAGTAGGTTCCAGAATAAGAATTGTGAAATAAGTAGGTGTTATATGCGACGTGCATATGCTGAATAGGTAGAAAGCATATAACACAGCATAGGAATAGTAAAAGAGAGGTGCTTTCGATTTGCAACAAATCATTCAAGCATTTACGCCCGACTGCCCGCCCAGTTGAATTAAACTTTCCTAGAACTTGAGCAAAGTGATGGAAAGGGTTTAGTGAATCCACAAGAGGGTGAATGCATGCGTATTCTCATCTATGCTTTATCAAACTTGCTTTCGTGCGAATAGTCAACTATTTCATTGGATTCAATTCTCTGACTTTTATCCTTAAAATATATCTTACGTACACCAGGGAGCACCTTCTGCATTATTATCAATATAAATATTACTATTAGTATCAAAATTGAGAGTCAACACTGACTTTCCAATAGGTTGATCATTTTTATTTTTCATTGCTTAGATTTGGAGTGAAAAACTTTATTTCAGAATCATTTGAAAATATTTATAATTTTTTCTATTTAAATAATTTCATCAATTATCTATTTTTTTTAAATCCGATTAATTTTCTAGAAAATTGTAGTACTTTAATATTAATACATTGGGCTTATTTTTAATGTTAAAAAAAATTAGTTTGCGAGTAAATATATTGAGAAAAAATAAAAGTCTTAAAACCTGATTAGCTTAACTTCAATTTATAGTTTTTTCTTTGAGACCAGATTACCTTCTATTTCCCACGTGTGCAAGATGATCATAGCTTACGACTTGTTTGAAAATAGTCCCAAGATATCTAACAACTATATATTCCGTAAAAAAAAAGAAACCATTATCATGTGTTCCACATTTTTTTTTAAATCGTAACAAATTTACCTTCCAAAACCTTTTATTTTCCAGAAACAATAATTTTAATTATGTTTTTAAAATTACCTAATAGTCCAACTTCTCGTCATCTGCTAATGACTTTGAACTTACTAAAAAAAAAACAATAAAATTCTGAAAATAAAAAAATACCCAATCTAAGTTAAGAAAATAAAAGAGGTGTGAAAAAATTAATTTCCTCTATCATTTGATTGCTCTTTCATTTCACTTACGTTTAACGGAGGTGTTAGTTGATAAAAACGATGAGAAAAGTATCCGCCATTTTGGCACTCTCCTCATAAAGGTCCTTAATAAAAATTCCAATCTAAACAAGCTTAATTTACGCCCGCCACATAATTACCTAGCCCCAGAGGGCCTCACCCTTACAAGCCACTTCTGACGCAGTCTGAAAGCAAAAGAGCCAAGTAGAGAAGCTCATGGTGCTGGTGCTGCTGCAGAGTAACTTGAAGTAAAAGAGTAAGAGAGTGAGAAGGACAGTGAAGAGTGTAAGCGAGACATCAGTTGGAGAAGAGAGGAGTGAATGCCCTCTGAAAAATCTAAGAGGCGTAAAGCATTAAAAGGGTTATATAACATTCATTACGAGCAGGTCAGCCTTTGTGAAATTTCCCTTGGAAGCTATCCACTCTCTCTTTCTCTCTCTCTTATATCCCTCCTTCAGTCTCTTGGGAGGTGAGTGCAGTCACGTGACTTTACTGTGGACCGAGGGGGTTGCCTTGGCCTGATGAAGATGTCGCACACGCCGGGGACTCCACCAGATTACTCGGTCCACAACTCCGGGAGCTGGCCAGGGCACATGCTAATTGCTTTATTTGACATCAAGAAATAATGTTCCCGAGTGCTGCCTATTCTACGCCCTTTCTCTTATTACTTCCCTTATACTGTGCTCACATGACCCTTCAGTCTTCTACTCTATTTCGGAAAGATATTTCATTTTAATGTGGAAAAAATCATGTGATCATTGTTCATGAGGGTCTGTATGTATTTATTATAGTTTTATTGCATGAGAAACAACGGATGATGATTATTTTTAACTTGAGATGAAAGAAATTATGTATTTTAATTAATTAAAAGAAGATTGAAAATTAGTTTGTGGAATTTACAAGAGTTTGAAGCAAATCAAAAACTTTTTTTATCACAGGCTTTATGATTGATATTGATCACTTGTGATAGAAAGTGCTAAATTTAACCCAGCTTAAAAAAATCTAGAATTCATGGTATTGATGATGTCATATCAATAATCGTCATATTTTTTTTATTAATCAATAATTATTCATGTAAATAATGATTGCTTAGTATATTGTAAATTATTCTATTTTTTACTTACAGTTTTATTATTTCTATTATCATTTCTAGGAACATGGAATATTTTTCCTAATTTTTAATTCAGTGACTTTGTCATATGCTTTTGTTTGTTTTTAACCTCTGACCATTTGTCCTGATGTTGAGGTAATTTCATTATTTATTATTATCTATTGAATAGGGGGAATCTTCAATTAAATATAATTTTAAAAAAGATTGAATCAGGATTAATTAATCATGTAATTTAAGTCAAAACTTATATCTCTATTTAACTGTGACGATCACTTTTGCAATTTATGGTACAATCAGCTCATCAACAATATGTGTTCTGCAAATTTACCCATAATGAATTACTAATAAGAAATTTTTTATTTTCTATTAAATATTCATCCAATGTATTCCAAAATAAAACATAACTTTCTATATATTTTTGTTTCGTTACTTAATATTAGTTTGTGCCCATAAACTATCACATATTGAAAGCCTAAAATACTCAAGTGTTAATTTATCGGACATAAAAGCAGGTAATTTCGCGACGTATATTCCAAAATATCAAACCTAAGGCTCAGGTGTCAAAGTAAACTATAATAGGTCGCATCAGGCTTGCTTTTCATCCCCTCGTCAACGACTATGGCTTCTGATCGATGTAATGCCTACCCCTTAGATACTTCGCCTGTCATCGATCCAGTAAATACTTTTTTTCCCGTTGTCCTTGCAGTGTGTTCTCTTTCTTTTACTGAAAAGTTTTCAGGTTTAGTAATTTTTTTTTTTTCACAACCCTCCTAGTGCTTAATTTTTCATGGATAAGTTTGTAGAAACAGGTCTTGGGGGATAAAAAGATCCCGTAAACACTCGTTTGATTTGTAACATAGTCTACTTGATAATAAAACCATCGTATTTTGTATTTCATCAAAAATAATACTTGTCCCAATTGTAGGCTGAAAAAAATTAAAGTAATTTTTTATCATGATATAGAAGCTGTATAAATACATATGACTCCAAAGCCCCTTCCTCTTTTGTCCTCTGTCTGTACTCAAGGGTCCAGTTTTACACTCCATATCCCATTCTTTTAAGGGTGTTACCTCTTACAAACCTATCCTTCATAACCCCTGTTAAAATATTTACTTTTTAATGAATATGCAAATATAATTTTTTACGCACGATTTCCATATTTTATCTTTGACATTTTAGTCATCATTAAATTTCATTCACAAGTTTTTAAGTAGTTACATTGCCCGAGTGGTCAGCCATAGAGATCATTGGTCTTTTAAGAAATTTAAAAATAAATTAGTTTGAAAGATAAGCCCCGCATGTTTATTTGGATAGTTGTATGTGAATTTAGAGTTAACCTTTAGCATTAATTATCTGTTAAAAGAGAAAGAGGATC